AAAAAAATTCATCAAAGTAATACCCTCATTTGCCGTCCTTGGAGTATTCTGTGTCAGAACTGGCTCAGAACTAACACGGTGTAACGCACTACCACCTTGTCTCGACGTTGAAGGCGTATTGGCAGCATTTTGATTTTCAATATCCTAAATGAAAGACAATGTAAGGATACAAATACTGATTGATAAGGCAAAACTATTTTTACAGAATATAGACCTGTGACGTAGATGCTGCTCGATTGTGTGAAACTCCCTCAGACCTGTCACCACGCATTTCACTAGTAAGATCATTGACTAAAGTAATAGCTAGGAAATCACAGCTCGAATAAAATAACCCACAATTACAATCTTGAATGACGCAAATATTTTTCTTTTTTGCAGTCATTTCCAAAAATCTTTTGAAAAAATTCTGATAAACAAACTGAAAAAAAAACGAAAAAAAATTTAATTAGTAGGAGGAGAGCAAATCAATTACAATAATTTTCAAAATCGTTTCTGGTGGTACCAAGGTCTTCGGCAATGTCAGCGTCAGTTCCTGCCATTTGATGCACAATCCTTTCTAAAATACTCCCTAGTACACGCTGAAACTGAACCGGATCATTCTGCGTCGTACCAATTTCAGCCACATTTCCACCAAGGATTCTACGAGTATTTCTTTCATCAGTTTCTCTCAGCGCAGACTAAAAAAATCCATTTCACAAGAAAGGAAAAAGCCACATTAAGAAAACAGTGGTGATCCAAATATACAAACTATAAATTGACAATACCCAACGATCCGAAACCAATTCCGCCTCACTTCGCTGTTCTGAATTTTCAGTTAAGCTTCGTTCATACCTTAGTGCAGCCTAAAATCCCGAATAAAACTGTATTTAAACTCACAAGTGATGACAAAAAAGCTAAATTCTTGAGAATGATCAGAATATAATACAACAACAGTAATACATAATATAGATCTAAAATCTACCTCACGTATGATTCTTAATGCATTTTGATAACTTGGTGTCCGATTCGTTTCTGGAATTGTGCTCGCAAAATTACTACGGCAAGGAAGATACCTGTCGGTCATAAAGACTGGTCCAGATAGCCATGGTGGCGGCACTCCGGAAGAACCCATTCTTACACCCTTTACGAATGAGGTTAAAAATTTAAAACTCACTTGAAGAGTTAAATAGAACATGTGTGCTCGTTGTCATAATCAACAGAAAAAAACTATTCACAACGATGACAAATTACGTTTAAAATAAATGTAGTTCCATCCATTTATATTTTTTACGAAAGTATATAAACATAAAGTTGAAGAATTCGTAAAGAGACAAAGTAAAATATAAATTGGGTAAAGGTCAGGAAGTAAAATGACTGAAAATCAGATTGAAACCCACTGAATTAGACCGAGATGTTTCTGGCACCAACTGAGGGGGGAGCATATTAGCGGGCAAAGGCCTGATCTGACTGTAATTAGAATCTCATAAGAATTCCTAACAAATATGCCATAACATAAAAGAAAACTGTTATTCAAACTGCGGAAAAGTAATAGAAATAACATATAATGTAAAGTATAATATACTATATATTATAAAATATACAATATAATATATATTATACTTTATATTCATAAAACTCATTCTTCAAAAACCTTCATATAAAAACAATTACATCAGGCGAGAACTGGGAGGTACACCAGGACCACCATGTACGTGTTGAGCTCCTGGTGGCCTTGTCACTGCCTGCATTGCAGCGTTAAACAGTTGTCGCACTCCCTTAAACAGAAAAAAATCGGTTGATATATAATGTTTGAAGTCTGACAGATCTTCGTTAAGTTAACAGGAAGAACTGCGAAACGACCTCCGGACCAACAGTTTCCACAACGAATTGCCCAATCACGCCGGGAACCATAATATGTTGAGACGACTGTGGAGTGGGAGTTGGGTGAGTTGCTGATATATTGTAGCCCTAAAAGAAAACAAGTAATACTAACAGGTTGAAGCACTAAGATAACAACTATTCCAAATTCCTTTAAATTAACCTGAAATGTTAGTGAGCCAGACCCGCTCCTGTTTAAACGCGGGTTTTCAGCAGTTGTCGTCATCGTTGCAGAACTGGGAGGGTGTGAAGCGGTCGAAGCTAGAAATCCGAATGAGCAGTAAGTAAATATGGTCACTAAATAAATTTTACACCCATGTCGGGACCAGAAAATAAATAAGAAAAATAAAAAAAAATGATACGATGTTTCAGAAGCTACAAGATACCAGTTCCAGTGCTTCCTGAGCTGGCACTAGATCGAGGACGACTGCCTAATAAATGATTTAATGCTTCAGTAAGCAACAATCGAAGAACACCAGTTCGACGCTCTCCATATCTAGCATTAGCTAAATAAACAAAAATTTAGACGTTTCCTATTTTTTAAAAATTAATGTAGCTCTCAAATACAAAATTCAATGCCAACAAAATATTTCTGTTTGACGCTCTTCTGCTGCATAAAATAAAAAATTTCATCTTTTCAAAAAAATGAGAACCAGATAAAAACAGGAATTGAGAAAAGGCAGAAAAGGCTCTCAAATTACCATTAGTTGGTCTGTTTGACTGTGTTGCAGATGAACTATCATTTTGAGATACAGCGTTTGGAGTGGGTTTCCGCAACGTGTTTGCATTGGTAGCTACAGGCGCAGATGAATTAGATGAAGCTGATGCAGAAGTTGAGGGTGCCGAACTAGAAGGGTGAGCAGACGATGAGGGCACAGGAAACAGTCTTTGCAGCATAGTAAAGGGACCACCAATGTCTAAAGAACCAAAACCTGAAAAGCATTTTACATTTAATCGGGTTAAAATATTAGTTCTACAAACAATCAGATATGGTCTACTGCAGCGTAAAAACTCTGTAAAAACTACTAGAGACTAGAACTAACCACACAATAAAATATGAACAGCAAACAAAAAAAACTACTAGGAACAGGAGTCGGGAACTGCACGAAAGACTGGTTTGACCCAAAACGAGGAAAGATTGTAACTAAGTTTGATGGGGATCCGCATCTTCTAACATTACCGACAATTTGCATTCGAACATCATCTAGAATAATAAGCATTACATTTAAACGGCATTACAAGTTCTCTTCAAACCAAACAGTGCACCAAATTTAATGTTATGAAAGACTTTTTCTCCACCTCACTACTTCTCATCGACTACGGAATTGAATAGACTCAAATACACAGATTACTTTCAAAATACCTAGACAACATGTTTTTTTTTGTTAGCTTTAAGAACCCTCTTTTCTTTCTTTCCGGGAAAAAAAAAAAACAAGAGATGGTGCACATGATTTAGCAGATAAAACAATTAAAACACACGCATGGGAGGATGATGAGCATCAGAACGAAATGCCTGCGCGGCTTGCTGTCCTAATCTCCTGATTCTTGACTCCTCGCCGGTAAGTGCTACTATTCGAAAAAGCGCCTAAACAAAAGGCAATAATCACTGTAACGTTTTCATTTTTATTTCTCCAATGTTCAAATCAGAACCTCGGTTCGAAAAGGGCTTCCCGACTCTGGTAAAGTTGGCGTCAATCGGTCCCGGTCTGGACTTTCAAAGGTATCTGCTATATCAGAGAGGCAGTGAAAAACATGCCCAAAGCAGTGAAACATTCTCCGTGTATGTTCTTGAAATACTTGGGCAACACATCGCGCATAATCCTGAAAACGACTACAACGGTTAGAAAACTAAAAGTAATCCAAATAAGTAGACCTCATTGCCTTTAAAAAAATTTTGTCAAATAACTCAGTAAGAATGACTATGTAACTGAACACAATCAAATATTTCTTTATGGTCAAAAAGATGGATCTTACATCGAGACAAAAGACTTGCGGATTCCTGAGCATGGCTTGGTAGCTCGATATCTGCGCGCTGAAGTCAGCTTGTGTAGCGATAACGTGATCCAAAAGTTGCGAGTACTGTAGTCGAGTTGAATGCCTGGTTGTAAACCAACGATTACGCGCGAATGAAGCACTATGATCTTTGCGGAAAATACTTAGAACTCTGATTCAGTTTAATTAACTTACCACTCCAGTTTCGAAATAAAAACAGAACAGAAACCTTAAAAAGTGCAATAAATAACTCAATAATACGCTTAAAACTTACCGAGTTATGTTTCTAGAAGAAATATTATTTTGTCCCT